CCCTTTATTCTCTCCGCTCAGTCACCCTAATGTTCCCTATCCAGTGGTTGAATGTAACTAAGTATATTTCTCAAGAAAGTACTTAGGTACAAGAGAGAGAAATTTGTAGTTTTCACTCCACTACATTTATTTAATAGTTGAAGATTTAGTTCATTTTAATTAATTATTAACTACAAATGGGCTATTCTGTATAATGATTACTTTTACTTTTGGTACTTCAAGTACATTCTGTAAATATTACTTCTTTGTAACTGCGTGCACTCGCAATTATAGTAGGCACATTAGGTCAAAGTTTAACCAGGAAGTCAGTCTGTAAACAGATTAGGTAACATTGTTTGTTTTTTGTTGTCTCTTTGAAATCATTTTCACTAATCCAGTTTGTAAGTATAACAATATTATACTGCAACAAATTACATCGAAAACTCCAAAAATAGGATCCAAATTGTAACAAATCAAAATAAGAAGGAAACCCTATGAAGCATGATGCAAAATTCCAAATTTATGTCTTCATTTGAGTGAAACTATAGGACAGCCCACCCTCACCTACTTAAAACTCAAACTAAATCAGTAATACATCATTTTTTTCAGCAAATAATTTAATGATTTGTAACTAATATACGCTATTTAAAAAAACTGAATTTGTCAAGCTTTGTCCTACATATGTTTGGCTGTCAAGGGAACATGAGGCCTCCATTCCAAATGAGGTCCAAACCAACATACGTGAAAAAACCCAGCCCCTTCATTCTGTTGAATGAGGCCACTGTGATGACAGTCTGGGTTCCAATGCAATGCTTCAGCAAAAAAGAGTAGAATAGTGCGGACTGGAAAAAAGTTCCATTTAAACACAATGCAACGTCAACTGGGAAGACACTGTGTAAGCCAATGAAATATGTGCAAACAAACATTCCTCTTTCTCGTCTTTACTATGTGCTACTACTAACTACTACTCTGCAATCACTGTGACTAAATAAAATGACTGTCATCATGATAACCCAGAACATTATAAACCACTGTGCAGTGTTTTGGTGTCTGATAAAATTCTTTAAACTCATGGATGGGACCATTCGGTAGACACTTTGGAAAGGATCACAGATGATGAAATGCTGATTTGAAAGAGACAGAACGTGATCCACAGAATGTGATCTTACCTGGGCAAAACAGAAGCACTTGCACCTCTTTGACCACTGAATGGCTGCTTAGGTGGTCAAGGTTCCAACTGAAAAACACTTCCTGGGTCATGGGTGAACATGCATTGAGGGCAAGGATATGTCTTGTTTCCAGGGAAATATTCCAAACATTTAGGTCAGTGATATTTCCAAAAAAGGGCTCTGTGAAATTCCCTCCAAATGAATCTTGGTCCTGACCCAGAATGAGTATCCCATCCCCGTAGATATCTCTTGAAATATCTGTGCCAGAGCCCATGTCCTTCCTGTCCCCATCCACATAGATAGCCCAGTGGCCACCGTTCCTGCGCCACGTGACACAGATGTGATGCCAAGCTCCATCGTTGGGAAAGGACGCCTTATATGGCAGGTGCTTCCCGTGGATGATGGTTGCCAGGAGGATGCGTCCCTGCATGTCCACTTGTCCTCTTAACTGGAACTCATTAGTAAAGACAGGTGCTGCGTAGGAGAAGATGGTGGACACCTCATTCCACTCTTGGTTCCACTGAACACGAACACACACACTGATAGAAGACAGGGCTGGAAAGGGCATGATGACACGGGCAAAGCCCTCCCGGGATTCCTTTGGGAAGTATAGAGCTGAGAAGTGTAAATCTAAACACGAGCAGAAGAAGTAATTGATGAAATTCTACATTTTACTTTTGTATTTCTGTACTTGTTTTATTAGCTTGTAGGTCTGCTATTTTCACTCACATTGTTTGGAGAGGGCCACAGGTTGGGAGGCTGCTTTGCTGGGATCCCTGACCCAGATAGGGGAGCGAAGTCCAGTCTGCTGAAGAAGCTCCAAGGCTCCTTCCCGTTCCTCTGACTGGTCAAGAGAGGCAAGTGAGCTGAGCTGGCCTCTACAGAAGCTGTCAGCCCTGGAGAAAGCAAGCGAGTCATTGACCAACTGGAGAGCCCAGTGAGAAGTTAGATGGACTAGTCTGGGTTGTTCTGGAGAGTCAGACACAGAAAACAACAAACCATAAATTATAAATAGTGTGGCATCAATCAAATACATATTTGATGATTTTTTAATTGATCAAGTAGATGTACAAGGGAAGTAAGTACTATGAATTCAAACTGCTGGCCGCTAGATGGCCACTAAAAGTGATTAACTGTCTCACCATGTGAGTCCCCCACTCTGTCTGGCACAGCATGTGTTGGCTCACTGTCACATAACACCTAAAGGAGAAAAAGTCAAGTTTAATTTATTATTTTAACAGTTTCTGTACAGAATTTGCCTGCACATTTAATATAATAAATATATATATATAATCCGCCATTTGAAAATAGATGGGTAACACGTGAGAACAGTAATCAGTGCTATGGAATTTCAGGTATCATTATATCCAAATGTTGAGGCACTGAGTAGTATTTTCAAATAAAAGAATGAAATCTTAATACAAGTTAGAAAAGAAACACACAGAAAACTATTTGCTTAGCTCTTGTTATATTATGGTAGAGAATGAGAAGGTTATTACCGCAAATGAGAAGAGTATGAGTCCAGTATGCAGGGCCCCAGTCATCTCTAACACAGCGTAGTCTGTGAAATAGTGAAATAAACTAGCTTACCCAGGATATATTACTACCACTGGATCCAGATGCAATTCACTTAGAGTTAGGTAAGTCATAAAGTAAATCCAAGACCCTATTGATTATGGGTATTTGTGCCAATAATATCTCAAATGCTTTGAGTATGGCATGGTAAGGCAAGCCAGAAACACTTTAGTGTGTCACTCTTCAACAGGTAGTTTTCAAAAATCTTGAGTGTACGTCCTAATTCATTGTTGCACTCTCAGTTGTAGAATCCCCATTTTCCTCCAAAGCAGCAGAAAGCCTCTGAGTAATCTGTGAACAAACTCCATGTGTGGTACGTTCAAACCCAAATCTGGTGCAGACTCCTCATCCAGTATCTCGGCTTCAATATCCAGCATATCCAGCAGAGTGTCTGGTGTCCTGACTGGGAGAGAGCCAGCAATCCCAGTGCGTCTGTCCAAGAGTCTCAGTCTGTCTCCTGCCTCCTGCCTCCTGCTTCCCTTCAGACCCCCACCCACCCATCCCTCCCTCCTTAGTACCCTGAAGCCATCTGCCTTTGTCATGCAAATGCCATTTTTAAAAAAAAGAACCCTACTTACGCAAGCAGTGTCAAGCATTTGGCACAGAGAGTTCATCAAGAGCAGCAGGGCAGCGGACATTTTTACCACATAGCCCTTCATTTTGCTTTCTATGGGACTCTAAAGTTAACTGGACATCGGTTTTAATACTGTATAGTCAATAAAAATGTTGTTGTACAATCAGCGTACAATAAATCTTAAAGTTTGGTTTGTTTGGGTTACTTTCATCTGATGGTTTTGTGCAACATGCTTGAAAAGTATGCCTTTTGACATCAAATTTGTATTCACAATACAGTACATGTGCCAAATGCTTTTCATCTGCATTTTCAGATTAACACATTGATCACTAAAAATTGTATAGGTCACATATTTAAACACCTGACCTCACAATTTAGACTTGGGCAAAAAGGTAAGAAGCTAAGGTGGGACAAGCAAGTAGACTAGAAAACACAACTGAAATAAACAGAATACATTGTCAGTCAAGTGAATCACTCATTCAAGAAACAATATGACTTATGAGATGTTCAATAACTCCAGTTGATCACATCTTGGGTTTTATTTTTGAAATATTTATTTTGTTATTTATTTAAGTTAAGATTGCACTGTACACACTAAACAGTTTTTTGTGTAAGTGTAGGCATATTTAAGTTAGCACACTTTGAGGAATGTTAACAATGGGAGAAGGACCACTACAACCAGCAATGTGAGGGTCACCACAACATGGGCTAGCAGAATCTAGCATAGTGTCGGAGAACCACCAACGGCTGTGCAAGCTAATGTTCCAACTTGTATCCCAATGCCTGTGGGTTTGACAATGTTTGATGGATACATTTCAGTATGAAATGTTTACTGAGATGAGATATTTCACCGGCTAAAAAGAGCTGGTGAAGTATGGGCCTTCACATGTTACTGCATTACTGGACGCACCAACCTTGACGTGATTGGGCGAGTGCTAAAGAAGGAATGGAGAATGAGGGAGAGAAGCGTTCTTTCAACAGCTGGAAGTAACGTTACTCCTGTTACTGCCGTTACTGCCGTGTTACAGTCTAAGATGCAAAGAACATTGTTGTCCGTTGTAAACTCAGTGCGACCAGCAAAAAGCTATCAACCGTTAACAGTTCTGCATCTGATCCCTGAAACATCTGCTAAAGCAGCACAGCAACGTGAAACTTTAAAAGAAACTCCGGCTGCTACAGCCAGTGATGCTTGGACTCTCGGAAGAGACTGGCGTTAAGTAATGATGTATGTTTTGTAAAAATACTGAATACTGCTCTTGGGCAAGGATTATACTTTCCACGTCCGTGAGTACGCGAGGGTCAGCGTGTCTAAAAAATCCTCATCGGAGGAGGTACGCATAGGGTCTGGCGGACATCTGTGTGCCTCCAGTTTTTTGTGACCGCACTAGCGCTACCAGGGCACAAACCGATTTACTGCGCATGTGTGGAATGTGTCCGCCAAGCTGACTGAAGAAAGTAGAATAAACAGAAGTAGTCCGCGTCCGTGGGGTATGCAGTTGTCCGTGTCTGCCAAGGGGGTAAGCCACAGTTGAAACAGGAAAGCCGACCAAAGCCTGCACGGACGGTTCCATGTAGGCCCAAAAATTACGTCAAAACCCTGTGACATCCCGTCGCACACGAGAGATGTAACCATATTGCTTAGATTATAAACTTTCAGTGAATCTAAAACAACTATTCGGCGATCAGTGACGCTGCGTTGGTGTTTGGCAGGTGAGCCTCGTAGGTGGGCTGATTAATCAGTGACGATTCGAGTCAGTCAAACACACTGAGCCATGAAACTTTTTGTTGGTGCAGCTACCAGAATTACGGTGTTTCTGCCGTTGCTTTACGTAATTAAACCACGGTTATGCTGCGCGATCATGCGCAGTAGACACTGGTGCCAACAGGAAGTAGCCCTGTAGTAGTATTTTATTGGTCCAAAACTGGCTTCACTGCTCTCCATTCAAATCATCGGGGTGGCTTCGTCCAGTAATATACTGTCTATGGTGTCTGCTCGAAAAAATCGTCATCAGAGGGGGTACGCGTAGTGTCTGTGTGGAACGTGTCCGCCAAGCTGACTCCAGAAAGTAGTATAAACAGAAGTAGTTTGCATCCGCAAGGTCCGCAGCTGTCCTGTCCGCTCCAGAGTATATGCTAGGCTTTAGAAATACATGTGCAAAGTTCAAAAGTCAGGATTCACCTGCTTTATTTTTTATTTCAGCCAGTGGGCATTAAGAAACGTTATGTTTTGTAAACATACTCCTTGCTGCTGTTGAATGAATATGATATTAGTTAAAAAGTCGGGAGAGACTACTGCTTTGTTGTATTATCCGTGTATTATCCGTGAAGGGTACTGAGATCTGGAACAAATTACCGGCTGCAGTTGTGAATGCCCCACTTCACCTACAATCAAGACTTGGCTTAAACAATGGCTCAAGACACATCAAGTCTATGATCACTAATTAAATTATTTACATTGTTGGTGTGTGTCTGGCATATGTGTGTTTAAGTATACATATAGTTACTTACAATTGTCTGGCTTTCACTTACAGTGACCCTTCATGATTCTGGACTCTAGTGAAGGACCTTGTGGGATCATTCAGCTGGAGACTTACCCTGCTGTGTGGTCCCACACTAGATGCGGCCTTTTACTGCACTGACTAGCACTTTAATCCATTTAATTGCATTTATTTGCATAGAATAGCACTTTCTTGCATAAATAGCACCCTGAAACTACATGTCTTAATAACCTTATTAATAATATTGTGGAGTATTTTAATATTCTTTCTATTGTTTGTTGAACTTTTCTTATATTGACCTCTGTATTGTAATGACCTGTCGGGGACTACAGATGAAAATTAGCCTTCTGGCTAAATCTGGCATATTTACACTAAATGTCCATTAATGTGCTCTGTCCCTTTTAAATAAAAAAATTTAAATAAAACAAAAATTGCCCACTGACTTTTTTTTAGCAATGTCGCTGTATAGAACTCAGTGGTTAACTTGGTGAGTACAATGTTATCACCGCAGGAATAATCCTTTAACACAAACATCTTGCCTAGTGTGGCTGTCCACACACCTGTCTGGGCAGACTCACACACAGAGACTGATGTACTTGAGAGTAAGACTGGTGGAGTAAAGCCTTAACATCCCTAATGTCCACAATCCAGTGATCCAGACAAAGACTGGCTATGACAAAGCCAGCCATTAGTATTCCACCTGGGTATCTGCTCTCAGTGTGAAAAACTGGACAAGAGCCCACAGGAACAAAGGCTCCTCCAGGCTGAGACTCCTGGACGTCGCTTTCCCCCTGCGCCCTCCTCTCTTGTCGCCTATTCATCTAACTGAACAACAACTTTCTCCTTCAATCACGCTGGGGCTTGCAGGCGTTGCTGTGAAAACCCAGTCACTTACAGTTCTTGTCAGTATTAGCACTGAAGAGAAATGGATAGGGAATAACAGATCCTGAAAGGTTTCTGGAAAGTACAATGAGGCATGTATGCTTTTAAAGTTTCTTAGTGAAATTTAAAAACAAAATGTTTTGCCTTCCTGTGTTGCTGAAATAAAGGTTCAGATTCCCCACAATACCTGAGAAACATGTTTTACTCTTACCTTTCATATAGTTTTGGTTTTATTTTTCAAAGTGTTGAAGCCAGAATATTGATGGGCTACGCAATTTTATAATCACAAGATAGACAGTGATACATAGAGACAAAATAATTGTCCATGTTGAGTTTGTGATGAAGTTGAAATTAGTTCCTTGTCAGCAAGTGATAGTTTGACCCTGTTATAAATTTGTTCTCACTGTAAGAGAATGTTACTCTTTCTCTGTAATCATCCAACTCAGCTTGACTGTGAACAGATGCCACACTGCCGTGTCATTGCAGTAAAACCCAATAAAGATTAACATATAACACTTACACACACAGTACACACAGTAGGCTATACACAGGACGCCTTTATATCTCACAGGACAATGATGAGAGATATGCACGCTGTAGCTGGGGTTCCTTTGCAGTAGTTGCACTAGAGTATAAGTTCACATTCTACTGTTGTGTACTCTCTGCTCCAAAGAAACCTCTGCAATAATGCCTCAGACAAAGTCCCTGTGCTATGACATAATAAATAAAGTTATTCTCAAAGATGGTGCGAGGCACGCTACAGTGATAGTAAGTGTTTATTTAGTAAAAAAGACACGTCTTAGTTTGAATTGGGTTCACACTAGGATCATTTGAAGGCTATTTCAACAAAAATAGTGATGTCAAAAGCCTGCCTCATATCCTTTGAGAGGTTCTAGCAGTTTTTATTTTGAAGGTGTTGTTGAGTAAGTTTTGCTACGGACATCTCGTGTGCCTGGGGCACCCATTTTTCCATTTAGAAATAAAATATGAATGATTGGTAGCTGGCACAACTGATGTGCTTTTTTTCAGATTGTAACTTGGCCACAGATTGTAATTAGACAGTGCCTATTTTTAGCGTTGGTAATCCCCTGACTTTTCATCCACAGCCACTTATCCAGTGAAAGATGAATTTGTCTAATGTTTGGTGCTGGTTAGCAACTGTTGACATACTTAAATAAGATGAGGAAAACATTATTAGTTAAACATCCGCATTGTGTTAGCAGCATGTTAAAATTGTCACTGTGAGCATATAGGATGCAGCATTTAGTGAAAAGCACTGCTACAGCCACATTGAGCTGTGAGCATGGCTGTAGACTCTTAGTCTTGTATTACTCCAATATGGTGAGCGTTCTGGCGCAAAATGGCTGCCATGCATAACCCAAGTGGGTGCCACACATTCAACCTGATCTGGAGGTTTTATTATTATTAATAATAATGCATTACATCACACCGGCTGTAAACACCTTTAACACAAACGTAGCTAGCTAGCTAGCACTTCCGGTCTGTACTCAAAG